TCGTTGTCTTCTGGTCGGGGGCCAACCCGGTGGATCCTGTCAACTTCATACCAGTCATCAACATCAATATCCAGTGCCTCTGATAGCAGTGTTTTCATAAAGCCATCCCAATTTTTACACCCGAGACTTCAACAGCTAAGGTCTCGAGGATATTCTTGATACCCTGCAGCTCCGTCATCACGTTTCTGGCTTCTTGTGGAGAGGAGTCCGCCATCTTAAGTGCGTCCGCTGTCTCCTCAGTGTTTTTGTTGCGTTGATTTTGTGAGGCGTTGCGGGTAAAATAATGGCTTTCAACCGACATATTTCTTTGGGGTTGCTGTCTCGTCACCAGTATACGTACGCTTGTAAATCGTATTTATGGAAAAAAAAGGGGAAAATAGCCAAGCCGGCTCGGCCTGCTTCTCCTATGCAGCCATCTTGGGCGCATCACCACCGGAAGTCGGACCGCTGGCATTCTTACTTATAACTTATGAGTCTTGCAGACAAAAAGCAGCATATTTTAAATAGTGAGTCTCCAAAAATGATAAAATTACAGTTTCTTTGCAAATTTACATAAACCATGCTGTTTTTCTTGTATTCAGTTGGAAAATCTGTAGTAAAATCAAAATATTTATAAATAATTGCAAATATCATTCTTTATTTTATGTAATTGCACCAGAGGGTAAAATAACTGTTGCTTTCTTGTGTATATAAGCTGGCAAACAACGACTTGTCCAGTTTTTCCTGAAGAAAATATTTCTTTTGAACTGATATTATCATTAACAATTAATTTATTAAGGTCTCATAAGCTTGGATATATATATATATATATATATATATATATATAAATATCTTATCCAACAATACATCTTATTTTGACAGTTTACAGGACATTTTAAAGGCCCACAAACTGCAATTAGTACATCCTAGACCTTTCTGTAAAAATGATGCAGAGTTTACCTCGGCATTCTGTGTCTTGTTAACAGACCCGTCTCCACATCATACCGCAGCCTCCCAGCAGCAGCACACTTCAAACACCTTCCAGCCACAGGGACCCCACCTCGTTTACATGTTTAATTAGATGACAACCAATCCCCTGTAGAGGCTGCAAGGTTCACCAGCAGGTTGCTGTTTCTTCTGTTGCCACTGCAAGAACTTTAGGTTTCCCTGAACAAAGTGGTCCACATTGGGATAGCTTGTTCAGTCTGCAGCCACTGTTTTTCTTATAAGCACCGTTTTCATCAAATCTAAACCTGGGGACACACAACACAACTTTCACTGTCTTTACAGAGTTTGAAAAGACTTGGAGTTTGCACTAAAAGACTGTTTTCAGAAGATATTAAATTCACTATTGAAAGAGCAAGAACCATGAACTTAGAACTGGCACCTGCTCAGGGGTCACAGGTTACAGGATTTGTCAAACCAACTAAAGCCAACTGAACGCATCAAACTCTGGTGGAAGCTCTTGTGAGGGTGACAGTTTGAAGGAGCAATCACACCAACTTGTAACACAACATATTCTCAAAATTCGGAGATTTCTTCTGCTCCCCTCTAAAAGGAACACTCACCAAATGCCACATGAATAATACATTCTTTATTCTATCTCAGAGGAACATAATGACTTCTGTCTTCAGGATGGACCACAACTGTCAGTTGATGGACTGCCTGGAAATGAAAAAGGCCCCAGGCTGGAGCAGGACAAGACAACATCAGGCGCTGAGAGTGAGCACTTCATCACAGATCAGTCAGCTCGCCTGGGGACAGATGTCCAGTTTCTCTGGAGAGAAACTCAGATACCTTCACTTCCTACAAGCTCTGCTGCATTGGAAATTTGTATTTCAATTATTAAACATTACTGAAAACCCTGCAATTAAGGTTATATGAAGATAAAGTACAAACTTCACTAATATTGGAATAATCAAGAGCAAAATACGATTTAATTTGATTACAGTGTGCAGACAAAAACTTGTCATTTTCTCCATCCAGAAAAACACCTGTTAGTAAGTTTATTTGTATTTGCAGATTTTTGTCAATATCATGCTGGTGGGTTAATGGATAATATTAAGAGGCACCAAACTCAGCAGTTATTCACTTGAGCTGTTGATATGTATTTAGGGTCATGGCTTATCGCCAAATTAAGACAAAGTTTCCACCATCTGACCCAAACAGTATTTGTGAAATAAAAGGACGTGGTTTAGGAGGCACACGCCTTTAATGAACTGGAATCTGCTGGAACACCAGTCACAATAATTTACAGCTTCTTGGAGACAAGTTTTATCGTCAGATGAGACAGACTGACCTACGTTAATCAGAATTAGAAGAAATGTAAATGTCCTTTTGTGCAGTAAAAACTAAAGCGTACCTCTGTTGTGTTGAACATCCAACCTACAGCCAACGAACAGCTGATGTAACTTGAACATACAATTCAGCTGAGCCAGTTCTTTAAAAATGATTAGAAAGGTTAGATTTTCTGGTCTTTATTATTACTCACAAATTTTGGATGTGGATGTGATTCTGGAATGATCAGGATTGTCTTTTCTTTGTTGAAATATTCAGCACCTGTACAGGACACTTGCTTCAGCTACAACCAAAGCAGAAAACTCAAACAGTTTGTCCTTTGTGAAAGTCTAGAAGTGAACTCACAGGTGCATCACTCAAACCATGAGCCTAATCACCTGCAACAGGTTAATCCATGCATCCACCATCCTGTCACAACCTGAATTAAACACAGTCCGTCAGATTTCAGTCTCACCTCTTTTTTCATTTGATAACAAGTTGTGGCTTAGTTAATAATCAGCCAACAAGACTTCCTAAATGAGCTGCATTTAACGGAGACTAATGACTTCAGTGTTTTCAGTTGCTGCTGGTTGTTTAATTCCGTCTGTTTGTTCAGATCAGTTTCGTTATTTCTCTGCCTGCCATTGATTCAAACAGACAAACAGCAAAGTTGGTTACAGACAGTAATCCATAGGACACACACTGATGGACAAGAGAGATAGCAACTAAAGGAGTCAGTGTTTTTTACATTTTAGTTCATGTTAATTTGAGTATTAAAAAATAATATTTTTACCAACTTCAATGCAGATTTCCTCCATATTCTTATGATTGGTATAATTTCGTCTACTGCTGGAATAGGCTTGAAGTGTATATTTGTTTTTGTTTAACCAAAAACTCACATTCACTGAAGAAATACATAATCCATTTGCTGAGGAGGATTCTGTGGAGCAACAGAAACATCTAAGGCTCCTGATCAGATGGATGTGTGTTCAGATCACATTTGCGTTAGCAAAAGATGCTTGTTCAAAAATCACTCCTCTAGGTCCTTAGTATGAAATTTACAAACAAAATTTTATGGTTGACATATCTTTTACCTCATGCTTTTGTTCACTCAGTCTGTTGCAAAGGAAATCTGAATTCTAATGTCGTCTAAATGTGGGACATTAGGCCAGATATAGCTTTTGTTTTTGATATGTACACTTTAGTCACAATTTACTATTTGTCGTAGTATTTGCCTCTAACAGGAACTATACATGAAGCCTTGAAGGAAAGCTTTGTGGACTCTGTGGCGCAATGGTAGCATGTCTGACTCCAGATCAGAAGGTTGCGTGTTCAAATCATGTCAGAGTCAGCAAAGAGTCCTTGCTTGAAGTTTAATTTGTAGTTTCTTGATATGATAAATAAATAACATACTCTTAGTTAATGTATAATTTAACCTCATGCTTTTATTTACTCAGTCTGTTGCAAAGGTAATCTGTATTCTTCTGTTGTCTAAATGAGGGACACCATGCCAGATATAGCTTTCGTTTTTTTAAATTTACACAATAGGCACGGTTTGCTATTCGAACTCTTATGCGTGTAATTTGCCTCTAACAGGAGCTACACCTGAGGCCTTGAAACAGTGCAACACAAACTCTGTGGTGCAATGGGCGCGTGTTTGACTCCAGATTGGAAGGTTGTGTCTTTAAATCATGTCTAAGTAAATAAAAATGTGTTCTGAATGGCTGTGTGTGGTGAAGCAGATGTATTCTCATAATATTAGTCATATTTAGATTCGTCTTTCTGTGTAGTCTAACTTTTTCTTTCATCACAATGCATTGCAAACAGAAATTTAATTATTTGGTCATGTAAGTGAAGGAACCTTAGATTTTCTTTAATGTAGCTAAACCTTGCAGTTGTCATAGACTTGACTGCTTGTTTAACCAAACCTTTATCATCTACAAACCACGGACATCTTCACAGAACTTTGACTCACCTTTTTTGCATGAATTGATCTTATCGCTTTTGACATTTAGGTTTTGATTGAAAACCCCAAGCCACACACATTCATTCAAACACATAGCTCTAGATGAGCACATGAGACTTGATCCAACATTTCCATGTTGGTGAGGGGCCCTAGGCCCCACTCAGCCATCTTCAGCAGTAGAAGCTATCAGCTGCTAGACAGACAGAACCAACTTTTTGGTTGATCTATCTTTGCACTCATGCTTTTATTTATTCAGTCTGTTGCAAAGGAAATCTGAATTCTAATGTCATCTAAATGAGGGACATTATGCCAGATATAGATTTTGTTTTTGATATGTACACTTTAGTCACAATTTATTATTTGTCCAATTTGTCGTAGTATTTGCCTCTAACAGGAACTATACATGAAGCCTTGAAGGAAATTTTTGTGGACTCTGTGGCGCAATGGTAGCGTGTCTGACTCCAGATCAGAAGGTTGCGTGTTCAAATCACGTCAGAGTCAGCAAAGAGTCCTTGCTTGAAGGTCTATTTGTAGGCTCTTGATATGATCTAAATAAAATACTCTTAGTAAATATATATTTTACCTCATGCTTTTATTTACTCAGTCTGTTGCAAAGGGAATCTGTCTTCTTCTGTCGTCTAAATGAGGGACACCATGCCAGATATAGCTTTCGTTTTTTTAAATTTACACAATAGGCACGGTTTGCTATTCGAACTCTTATGCGTGTAATTTGCCTCTAACAGGAGCTACACCTGAGGCCTTGAAACAGTGCAACACAAACTCTGTGGCGCAATGGGAGCGTGTTTGACTGCAGATTAGAAGGTTGTGTCTTCAAATCATGTCTAAGTAAATAAAAATGTGTTCTGAATGGCTGTGTGTGGTGAAGCAGATGTATTCTCATAATATTAGTCATATTTAGATTTGTCTTTCTGTGTAGTGTAACTTTTTCTTTCATCACAATGCATTGCAAACAGAAATTTAATTATTTGGTCATGTAAATGAAGGAACCTTAGATTTTCTTTAATGTAGCTAAACCTTGCAGTTGTCATAGACTTGACTGCTTGTTTAACCAAACCTTTATCATCTACAAACCACGGACATCTTCACAGAACTTTGACTCACCTTTTTTGCGTGAATTGATCTTATCGCTTTTGACGTTTAGGTTTTGATTGAAAACCCCAAGCCACACACATTCATTCAAACACATAGCTCTAGATGAGCACATGAGGCTTGATCCAACATTTCCATGTTGGTGAGGGGCCCTAGGCCCCACTCAGCCATCTTCAGCAGTAGAAGCTATCAGCTGCTAGACAGACGGAACCAACTTTTTGGTTGATCTATCTTTGCACTCATGCTTTTATTTATTCAGTCTGTTGCAAAGGGAATCTGTATTCTTCCGTCGTCTAAGTGAGGGACATTTTCCGGGTTCATTTGTTTTTTCTGAAAATTGTAAGGGGAAAAAAACCAACCCTTTTAGACTTTTGATTATCTTTTTAAGAATTTAACGTTTATCATGTTTTTTAACAATTTTGGAACGTGTTTGACTTTCTTCTTTACTCTGATATGATTTGAACAAGCATCTTGAAATTGGACAAAAAGACTAAATATATGACAAACTCTTCAAATGACCAATGTGTTACAAATCTGTGATTGGTAAAAACAGCTAATGTTTCCTCAGTGCTACGCATTGGTTTCCTATCAGCTGGCTTTGGCCAATTTCGTGCAACGTGGTTGGACATTTCATTTTTAGCACACTATAGTAATATATAGATACTAAAGGAGCCCGCTGGACATCTTTGTGCCTCATTTGGACAAATTGCTCCACTTTGGGCTTCGCTTTCTTTCCGATTGAAAGCCCTTGATTATCTCCCAGCTTCTCACAATAAAACAGAACACGAGTGGTAGGTAGTTTTTCTGTTCCCTGTCCCCGTTTCCTGATTATCGCAGCCGTCTGCGTTCACTTGGCACACCCAAAACACACTCACGCCAGAGCCCAGAGTGACAGAGAAACTAGTGAAGAGACAGCGTGAGAATGAGTTGCAGTAAAAGAGTAAGGACAGATTCGACCTCAGATGGGAGATATGGTCAAAGTTATTAGCACCACACTGTGGGCTTTTTTTGGGCTTGTTTTCATAGAGCTGGTTGCCTGTTTCAACTTGCACATGTCTACAAAGAAATGAACAAAAACAAAAAAGGGGTTTGAAGGATTCCTAGAGAAGAAATTCAGAAAACCCTCCCATTCACCTTAAATAAGAAAAGAATATGCAGTGCCCATGTTTGGTAGGAATTAATGTTTTTAACATTTGGCACATAGTTTGCTTTTAACTCCTTCTCCTCATTAAAATATTTCAGATAAATGTTCATTTTCTATACTCTTGTCCATAATAAATGTTCATTTTGGTTAAAAGAATGAATTCACTTTAACTTTGTTTGTTGTTGATTCTCTCAGCACGCTGGAACATTAAAGGTGGAGCTGATTTTATGTGAAACCATCCTTCCCCTCTCGGACCACACAGCGACTGTCAGTCAGCTGACTCTTATTTTGAAATCCTCTAGACAGAAAAACTAAACGGCTGTCAGCTTTAGAGGGTCTATCGCTCCCTCTTCCAGCTCTGAAGCTTGTTTTGCCTTCTCAGACTCACCCGGTGGCCCCACCTAACCTTGGAAACCCCCTCCTCTTCCTCACTGTTTCCCTCATCGGCCTTTGACCCCTCTCACTGTGAACTATGCCATGAAAACAAACAGAAATGAGATCTGGGTTCAGCAGGAGAAGAGAAGGGTAATTTCTAAAGTGCTAAAGATGATGGAAAAAACTGTGGGTCTTAGAAAGTACAGCCGGTGTGTTCCAGTTTGAGCCCAAATGAATAAAAACCAGGTATGTAATTAACTTAAAGATGTGATGTCCTATTTTCTCCTCAACTCCTCCTCTCTTTCTCCTCCTTTCTTATACCTTATTCATTGTTTCTCATTTAAACCATTTCTACATAAAAAAAACCTCTTTTCACATTGATTTCTGCACTGTGTCTAGTTTAGGCATTAAAAAAGATAAAGGTCATTGGGACAAGGGCTACCAAAATTCTTGTGGAAGATCACCCATCTTTACAAAAGACAGCCAGGCTTTTTTATGCTGAACCTTACTGTAACACAAAGGTTCAGCAGGAAACAGAAACCCACTCAAGATCCCATGTTTCTGTCCTCACATCAGCGATCTCCAGTTGTTGTGTGTTGTCGGTTGAGTGGGTGTTTTCTCCTGAGGTGCTGTGCTGTGTCAGGGGTTAAGTGGCTGTTGTTTGGATGAGAAAACTGCTGTGGCTTTAGGATTCAGGCTTGGCCTTTTCCCCACACTAACCATGCTGCATTTAAATCACCTGGGAGGAACGAGACATGTGAGCTTCAAGATCCTGTTGATTCAACTGTCAGTGGAAGAAATGTCAGCATTTAACCCACATTCATAACATAAACGAAGACGTTTCTGGGTTGAGGATCAGCTTTTCACCCCAAAGTGTCATGGTATGACATCCTTGGACTTGGTTTGTGTTTTTGTGTTAACTGTGCTTAGGTTTATGTTTTCCTTTATTGTTAATTAGTTCCACCTGTCCCTTATGCCTCCATGTCTCCTTGCCACAC